TTTTTTTCAGCCCAAAGGAAAGATGTTTGGAAGAAACGAGGTAACTCTTCCCCAAACAAGTGTGAATACTGTGCTAAGTGAACTATAGGGCAAACCCTCAAGTTTATCACCGGAATCAGTCAAAGCGCCTCATGAAAACCGCCTCTGTTCTTTCTCATTTTTTATTAGTGCATTTGAAGGCTTAATACCGTGCGCAAACGTCTGTTTGAGAACAGCGCGGTGCGCGCTTGGGTGTGCGGTCCTGTGGTGTAGTGGTTATCACGTCTGCTTTACACGCAGAAGGCCGCCGGTTCGATCCCGGCCAGGACCTTCGTTTTGCCAATTATGTTCCGCATCAGGTATGAGGTATTATACCATGCCATGCCATTCCATGCAGCACGATCTACTTTATTTTTCATTTTAATTTTTGATTTATTAATTCAAGCGCAGCCTTCGGAATCTTGCACCACTTAAGGAGACATTCCCTGAACATAGGCACAACGTTCATAAACCTGTTGCGCTTTGTCTGAAAACCCAGTAGTAAAACTCACATGTTTTGTGCCCCCTTCCCCCTCCCGGAAAAAGGTAGGGAAACACTTCGTATAAGGAAAAAACTGCGACTGACCTGATCACCCTTGAACACGACTCGTCTGGAAGATGGACGTCCATTCCAGTAAAACACAAGTGGTCCAACTTCATCACTTTTCATTCGAATTGAAGCTCGTAATTTCTGGCTCAATGTGAGAAGAAATAAGCCGACGTTCTTCACGAATTCCTCTGGAGTAGTAAGCACCACGATAGAAATGTCTCCAGGAAGCTGAAAAAAATAGGTGCTGACCAAGCAGCCCATTTCTTCAAAACTCTATAGTGAACTAACGAGGGCAGGCGGCTTCCTTCCTGCACAGTCGCCACCATCAAAGTCGCATTCTGGTGAATTGCACTGTTCGTCACAGAAACCGTCATGACCATGAGCGCGACAGTAATCCACAATGGTCGATGGGCAGTCACGACGACTGGGAGAACAGTCGAAGCCGTCGAACAGGCACTCTTCGTTGTTGCAGATCTTGAAAAGCAAGTTGAAGAGTCAAATAGGCATCATGAATGAAACCAAGAGGAAAGGACTCACTGAATCGCAATGTCCATCCTTGAAAACGTGGGAGCAATAGCTGGCCGAAGCACATTTACTGAAGGGAACGCCTTTGGCTGAGCAATCGCCAGCATCGAAGCCGCAAGCGAAATAGTTGCACTCGGCGTCGCATACACCGTCACCACCTTTCGAGCCGCAGTTGGACAGTTCGCAGCGTTTTTGTTCCTGCCTAAATTTCATCTTTTCGAACTCAGTACCAACAAAATAGGATATAACGCTGGAATTCTCCCGAAACAATTTTGAAACCTGCTAACCTATCAGTATCGTTGAATTTGTCAAGATCGACGAAAATTTGACAATTGCGACCAGTGTAGCCGTAAGGACAGTCACATTTGTAATCGTTCACAAGGTCGATGCATTTGCCATTATTTAGACACAGACTGAAACCAGGGAATTCAATTTGAATCATGTTTTTCGCTTAGAGGTGGCATCCAACATCTCCGATTTGTTTTGCTGGATTCCTAATGAGTTGCATTTCTCATCTTGGTAAAACCTGTAGAATTTTGTCAAATGTCCCCAAAGCTGACGCCATTACATGGCTTCAACTGAATCTACAAGACATTGCCTACAAGAGTCATTACCTATAGTAACCAGCAAATACCCCCACCAAGAACTGCGCCGTTTCTCATAAATCGGTATGGAAGGAGACGAAAAGGTAGATGACGATTAGGACTGCGAGGTAGATTTCTACATCGGTTCATGGTTCGTGAAGTGATTCCGATCCATACAAACACATTTTGAATCGCAGAAGATCTCTCATCGAAAATTCGTATGCAAGGAAAAGGGATACTTCAGAACGGTAATGGAGGTGAGCTTAGAAAGGTGACCTTGTGTAAGCTTCGCGTAAGGCCAGGGTTTCAGTTTACAGCACTTTTGTACTCAGCGTCGACATATCCCGAACGGAGTGACGTATGCCAAGAACTTGTTGCCTCATCACTGTGGAAGTTCCTTGTATAACCTTTCTGTGAGGCTATTCCTACGCGAGGGATCAATCATTGTCCTGGAAACTAATTAATTTCATCGACCTCAGTTGAGTTATTCTAACTGATCCAATTATCCTCCATGCAGACAATAGTAATTATGATACTTAACACCCAAATAACATGGTTTGCATATGGTTACGTGGGGTGTCGCTTAAAGATAGGTGGAGGATGAAATGTTTTTTGACACAACTATGGGCTTCATCAAATTGAACTACCTTATATTCCAGATCAATAGCCCGATAATGCTTTTCTTTCTTCCCAAAAATGAGGTGCCATCATACTAGAGAGCTGGAAATGTTGGCCTCAAAACTGGGATCAGAGAACAACAACGACAAGGAATCTTCAACAACAAAAGGAAAATTGACATTTTGTCGTTGCTCTGTCCCAAAAAAACAGTGTCTCACACACTCTTTATCCCTGAGACGGGGTAGGTGGCATTTGGACATGGCATAAGATGGGCTTACTCGTTGGATATTTCAATTTGGGACAACTGTCATCCTGTTCTGTGTTGGACACTGCCCCAAAATTACGACTGTCCCAAAATCGAATCATCCTACGAGAACCTTAGCCGCTATCAAATCCAAGTAGGCGCCACTCCTAGTTCATCTCAGAGATTCTGAGTGTACTTTCCTGGAAAGTAGCGGTGAGGAGTGGTGAGGTGGATACAGGATGTGAGGAATCGTACCAGGGAGAGGCGGAGGAAGAGGTGAAATCTACGAAAATTTGGTAGTTTCCTGGAAGAAGCGGTACAGAGAGGTCAGGCTGATACAGTTGTGAGGAGTCGTAACAGAAAGAGCCAGAGGGAGAGGTGAAAATAAATAAATAATGACCAATTTCACTTTCGGAAGAATGCTGCAAGTGCTGCTGAAAATGCTTAAAATGCTGCAGATGAGCCACTTTGGGAGCTGGGTTTTATGGTCTTCACATAGTGGCCCGCACATGTTTGCTGAGTATCCTTTAGTGGCCCACGAAGCCGAAGTGCGCAGAAAACCGAACGATTGAGAGATATTGAGGGCGATAGGAAGCAAGGAAGCAGCAGCTTTTGTTTCGTACGTGTTGCCCAACACTTGCTTCGTACGTGTCCTTCGACGAAAGCCGGGTAAACGCATAATTTTACCTTGCGTTATTAGTAAAGGAAGGGAGGATCTCCGATGAATTTTGCAAAAAATTAATGATTAGAACCTTTCCTCATCATTGCATGGGGACTGAAACCCAGGCGACTCTCACTACTACTATAGCGCAAAATTGTTGGATGATCTTGCGAAGAAACTAAAATCAAAGTTGGTTTGAATCTGCAGTGTGCTTCCCCATATTCGGAACAGAAGTACGTTAACATTCTATCACAGCGACAATCTTGATAGCGGCTTCGGCCAAAGAGGGTTACCCACTTGTTGAGAGCCATGTTCCCACGACCTCATTCTTATCACTTACGCCAATTAATGTTTACTTCGGCGGAGGCGCCGCATATTTACAATACCCAAACATAAAAACAGACATGAGTCGTTTACGATCACTAAGAAATTACTGTCATGGAACATGACGATAGTGGGATTTGCCTGATTATACAAAAACATACCCAGGTCTGCAGTCGTCATCGTTGATATGGCAGTCACGCCCGCTGAATCCTCTCTTGCACAAGCACTCGTAGCGATTAATTCCATCCACACAGGTAGCGCCATTTAGGCAGGGGTTCTCAGCACAGTCATCTGTAAGGAAACGCTTGAACCCTCATAATGAACGCTACGCGACTGGCCAAGATCAAACTAACCTATGTCAACACCACAGGTTCGTCCAGTGTATCCAGGCTGACAGACGCAGTGAAAATTAGCCAGATCATCTATGCAAGTACCATTGTTCAGGCATGGGCCTGCAAATTACAATTTAATTGCATCGCTAATTTCAATGAGAGGTATTTTAGCAACTGAAGGCGGTGTCAAGATAACACGGGACCGAGAAAAGACACTTTTCCTATGACAGGAACCATTAAAGTTAGGCACTACACCAGGTTGGCGAGAGAATGAGGAAGATCTAACTTAGACTATTCTTGAGGCTTACACAATAAGTTTGAAAAAAAAAATCCGCCACCAGAGCATGTCTGGGCAAGGGAGAAATTCCTTCAGAATACCACAGTCTTCAAAATCCTACTCTGATACAACTCCCGTCTTCCAAATCATGCCTGTCATCAATCTTTATTTGAAAAAGATTGAAGTGACTTACTTCTAGCGCAGTCGTCGATGTTTTCTATGCAGTCCGTGCCAGCATAGCCTACTGGACAGACACAGTTGTAGTGCCCATGGGTGTTGTGGCATGTCCCGCCATTACGGCACGGTTCCTCCTTGCATTCATCAATGTCCTTAACAATTACTAATCAGCAAGCAAGTCACCGTACTCTTCTGGTAACTCCTGTGAATTTCCCTTCGAAACCCGGTTTACATTCGCACGTATAGTTCCGATAGTTCGCTGTAGGGCGGCATACAGCTCCATTATCACAGCGATTTCTCGAGCACGGATTCCTCTAAAATCTTTGCAGTTGCGGATGAGGGGGGGGGGAGTAATCAGGCAAGAGGCTCACCTTAAATTGACATCTATCACCGAAGTAAGCAGGTTTGCAGTGACAGACACCAGCATGAGCAGCATTGATGCACACCCCGTTATTCAGACAAGGGTTAGTTGTGCAATGATCGACCACTTTCTGGAAAAACATGGCAGTTACCACAATACTGAAATCAATAATCGACATTTCAAGACTTACCTCGCAGTTCTTTCCACTGTAACCGCTTGGACAATGGCAGAAGTAATCAGCCAGCCTATCCGAGCATGTACCTCCATGCTGACACGGATTTGTTGAGCACTCATCAATTTCTTTGAGACAATCGAATCCGGTAAATCCGATGGGGCACACGCAACTGACCGATCTGGCACGGGAACTAATGACTGCTGTATAAACCTTTGTAATTCCTATTAAGCTCACCTTGTTCCATTGTTTTCAAGGCAGACTTGGCCAGTTGGGCACTTTGTCATTTCACATGGGCTCACTTCGGTTTCACAAAACTTGCCAGTGTAACCCTATGAAAAAAATATTAGTAAATGGTAAGAGGTTATTGTAGAAGATGATAAGCACCGTTGAACATTCGCAGCTGTTGTTCCTACAGAATCCACCATTCAGGCAGCTACCAGCTGAGCATGAGCAGCGATCACCTGAGGCGCACTTCACGGCGCATGTTGGGCCAGTGAACCCTAAACTGTTTGTTACAAATATGAAGCTGCTCCAGAACAGTAGCCTTGAATCAAAGCTGACCTTCAGCGCAGGAACACTCGAAACTGTTCAGTCGATCGACACAGACACCGTTGTTCAGACATGGATTCGGATAGCACATTTCCATCAGCGTGTCACACGACTCTCCAGTAACACCTACAAAGAGGTAAAGGGTGAAGAACTCCTTCTTCAGTTTGCCTCTTTTGAGGTGCGCTATGTACTCTACTTCCATCCGGAATCGCAGTAGCATCTTGGAAGGTAACAGGCCTATACAGCGACTTCAGTCGCAACAATGTGTTCCTCAACTCACCAAGGAATTTGGTATTAACTAACCGGGGCTAAGCGCGCAGTAAGCAACGCCACTTTCCTACTCTATCTCCACCCTGGGACTTCTGTCGCGCTTCCGCGGTTTGTAGAAACAAGCCTTGCTACCACAAGGAAGCCTAGGTCAAAGAATCGTATCGCAATGAGGCCTAACCAGCTGGTGGCATACTTACATAATATTTTATATTACTAGTTCCAAAAATGGAGAGGAGAACTGAGTGGAGCGAAGAACTAGACGTTTTGGCGTATTCGAGGTGACAGAGTACAAGCGCTACAACTCCTTCATGCGGTAGCTAACTGGATTTGAGCTAATAAAGCCTTCGATGGCAGGCATTTGTTGATTTTTACCCTTCCTAATGGTAGGAAAAGGATAAGACACTGTAGATGAGCCATCCTAACCGTGTGCGAATCTGCACGCCTTCACACCTTTCTTCCTCAGCGGTACTGTGGGCCCCTGCTTTTCAACACGTTGAAGATGAGGGACGCATCAGTGAGGGAAACTTCGGTTGGGTCCTGCTACACCTTCATACACGGCGACTGGTTGTTCGCAGGGCATGTCTTCCCATTTCAGCAAAATACGACCATCCTCGAAACATTCTCCTTTGGCACGACTCCCTTCCCCATCCTGCCCACCATCTACCTAGTTTTTCCAAGTTCTCCCCTTTTTCAAAACAATTGAAGAATCACATTCTTCAGAAGGGAATACGGCCCCCTCGCTGGGGATTCCCAATGTATAGCGTGTCCGAATATATTAGGTTGTCCGGAAAGTTCTCAGCGTTTTGGGTGTTCCACTTTAAACGATCGTAACTTTTTTAATCATTCGGATTTAAAACAGAAATGGCACCATTCGAATCATCACATTTGCCATGTGGCAGCAGTCGAGGAAATCACCATCAAAGAAATGGATGTCGGAATCCACAAAATCTACGAGGTCTTTTTTTGATGTCCTAATTGATGAAGTAATTTTTCAGCGAGGAAGTCTGATGTTTGAAAGGTAATGATGAATTGGTGAAAGTTCTGGAGAAGTATGATGGGTGTGTGTAGAATTCAACCCAATTGCGTTAATTATGGATAGTGATTTTGTGACATGTGGGCGGGCGTTTCATGGCAAAGGAGTCGGATTCTTTTGAAAAGTTTGTGCATCTGAAAAATTTTAGGATAGAATTCGTGATTTCTTCACGTAGGACTCTGCTGTGATGGTTTGCCCACCTGGTTTTGATAAAAGTTATAATGGATCACACCAGCAGATGACCACAAGCCGTGACCAAAATCTTTTTTCGTGAGGGTTCGGCTTTGAAAATTACCTCGGTGGTTCGTCGAAATCCACACTGTCGGAACGTCTCCTGTTATCATACATGACCCATTTTTCATCACAGGTGAAATGGCCCAAAAAGAATCGTTTGTGCGCAAAAGAATGCAGAGAACCGAGCGTGCAGTTTCCTGCGGTCACTACGATTGTAGGGCACCATTATCGAGTTTTTTTTCACTTCCAATGCGGTTCAATCTGTACAACAGTGACTTTGCCAAGCCAGTTTGGCTGAATCTTGCCGAACTGTTTTGGGATGGGTCAGCCTCCAAATCCTTAAATCATGGTCAGAAATTTGCTAGGTGACCGACTCAATGAGGTTATGAATTACAGGCGCCTGAAATTCAGATAGCGAAACGATTATGTTTTGATTCTCATTGGTGGCAACAAGCAGATATCTAGCCTATTGGGGGGCAATCCGTAAGACGAAAGAGCTCAAAATAGATAACCCGAACCTTTTTTGGGGGTTTTTTTTTTAAATTTGTTGAGCTGTTTCGATTGCGGATTGCCCCAATTTATAGTCGAAGAAAAAAATCGTCCGAAGTGCTCTTTTCACATGCTTGAAAAAATCTTGAAAAAGGGGTTTTTATCAAGCAATGGTGAAACGGCAATTATACCATCAGATAGCGCAAGAAATTCTCTACAGGATGTGCTACTGAGAAGCAAGGCAGAATGAGTTTAATCAGCAGTGAATGTACAAAAAATAGGTGCACAAAACGCTGAGAACTTTCCGGACACTAAATGAAGGTAGGTGAGAACCAGAATCAATCTAGAGGAGTTAAATCTTTCCACAGAATTTCCTTTATTATTGATTTTTCTCATCATTAATTTTTTTCGCAGTTTTATTCATAATATGTTGGAAGGTATGCTGTTGAAAGAGAAAACCTACCAGTAGGACATTCGCAAGTATAACTGCCTGCGATATTCACGCATGTGGCTCCATTATGGCACAGAGCTTCACCCCATTCTGCACACTCATCGACATCTTCATCGCAATGCGCTCCCTGCAGGTAAAACAGTCATCAGCAGCCTTCAGTGAATGAATGGATGGCTTACGTATATGTGGTAAAGCCAGGTTGATTCACCGTTTCAGGATCGGGCAATGCATGCGCGCGTTGGAGGCACGGTAATAGATGACATGGAGTGTTGGAAAGGACATGAACAAGTGTATGATAGGAATGAAAAAATACAGCAAAATGTAAAAACCTATTTTTCCTCATGACACTCGGCGAATAGAACAATCAGATTACGCGCAGGTTGAGCTGACTAATTTATTTGTTACAGCAATCGTCCATTAGTTTATCGTGACAATTCGCCTGAATATGGTTGAGAAGGCGTACCTAGACACCTTATCATACTGAAAAAATGTGGCGTTGATTCGCTTGCGAGGGATGTTGCACTGATCGATTAGACTACAAGTCCCGCCAGGTGTAGACTGTAAATTCAGTCAAGTATAAAAGAAGTTCTACTCCCGCATAGCTTCGGAGGGATTTCTGGTTTCTGTGATGCGTCGTCGATGGGACCAGTTAATCTGCCTCAAAAAATCTTTACATATGAAATCACCTTCGAATGCTGCTGTGCAGGCACATTCGAAACCGCCATCAAGGTTCACACATGTGCCGCCGTTTTCACAGGGATTCGCCATCGAGCATTCATCAACGTCCTTTTCACAGAACAACCCTGAATTATGTGTTTTCAGAAAGTTAGGTTCTGTTGACAAAAATTGCTTTACTCTAACCACGATTTAGTCTATTCACATCAGACACCAACACCAAGCTTAAAGGGGCAGGGGACGAAAACCTTTGAAACCGTTGAAACCGCCCGAGTAGCTCAGGAAATATCTTGGGGTAAAGAGATAACGGTTCATTCTATCGTATTGCGTTAAAGCAGAGTTTTCTGAACCAGCTGTTACAGACTAGGATAGAATGTCTAAACTCCTCCATTATGAACATCTCCAAGCCACGCCTTCTCCTTGCTTTACTTTATGGATGTTGCTTGAATCAAGGGAAAATGACACATAAACAAAAGAACGAAAGCGGTTTCCAATTTCCGGACTAGCTCTTGCTCTACTGGACTTTTCCCAACCTTACGGTGGAGAAAGCTAAGTTACTGACAAAACAAGTATCTCAGTGGTGTAATGGATAGCACACTCGTCCGGACAGTGTAAGAGCGGGTTCATTTCCCACCGGAGCTCAAGTATTTTGCCTATAACTCGGCATTCTTTTGGGACCATTCGGAGCGCGACTGCGACGTTAAACAGCAGCTATCAGTAGCTATCATAGAGGCTCTCACCCTTTTGTAAGCGCGCCCCTTCTCCGAGGTGCAGAAAAGCAGCTCTCCAGATGGCCCTTTGAGAAAGCAGTTCAGGTCATTTCACACCGGGAGCGCAAGATCTAGTTTGGCCTCCACTTGGCTACCTCCTTGTTAGGAAATATTAAAATTTAAAAGGTCTAAACTACATATCACAGCGATAGGGTGGGCGCGGCTGGGTGCTTCGCTTGAACATGGCATAGGATGCGTTGCTCGTAGGATATTTCGATTCACACAAAAGTTATCCCATATTCTAGTGTACAAAGCCATGGTTGCAACTGTCTGAAACTGCAATATCCCTCCAGAAGCGCAGCTGCCACCACGTTTGAATGAAGTACGCAGTCACGGACTCTCCATCTCTGGGATATGTGGCGAACGTCTTCAGAGGATATATTAGATCAAAACGAATCGGAACGCCACCAACCTTGGTACATTGGTGGACAGACGCAAGTGTTGGTGTTGTTGATTTCGTCAGCTACACAAACTCCTCCATTACGGCAGATATTCGGTCCAGCCATTGAGCATTCCAAGCCGCTACGATAGATTTGGCAGTCCCTTCCAATGAAGCCCTCATCGCATTCACATCGGTATGAGCCCATCTGGAACACATGATATTCCCAGCGCATTCGTTTTCAATACGAGCTGTTGCAGCCGCGTTCTCAACAACGAACAACGATGACGACGGTGGCGACGAGGACGCGCCGCCGGATGATTTGGTGGTTTTCGCTTTCGTAACTTTCTCAGGCCGCAAAAAAACGTGTGGTGCGGTGCGCAATCACTCGTGGTAAATTGCGCGTTTGTCCTCTCATCTCAATGTTCGTTGTGTGAATGTCGGCGGCGTGTTACGCAAAAGACAAAGCAGGATCGGGGTGGACGCGCAGCGCACTGCTGATCGTAAAAAATGAGCTTGACAACGATAAAAAAGGACTCGTGTGAACATTCCCAGCGATCCATTTCTGTAATTCGGCCACTAACCCATTTATCATGAAGTCTACTCTTAAACTTACCGTATTCACACATTTCCCAAATGCACATGGAGACAAGTCGCACTCGTTGACATCATGTTCACACTGTGGTCCATAGAATCCCGGAGGGCAATTGCAGACGAAATCAGACCCATTCTGAGAGCACTTTCCGCCATGGTTACAGTACTCGGGTGGACATGGATTGCGTTCTTCACAATGGTCACCTGCAATGAACTGGTATTACTTAGGTTGACAGCATCGCAGCTGACATG